GATTTGTTTACAAGGCCAGGGGTGGCAGGGAGAAAAGTTGGACTCCGGGTGGCTGAGCTTTTGGCAAGTTCTCCGATGGAACAGTGAACAGACGGGCTTTCTTAAAAAAGCCGATGAACGTGGCAAGGTTCTCCCGCTTCCCCTTCTAACCCAAGTGAAGGGAAGATAGGGCAATCGTGCTTCTTCTTCCTTTTCTTTTGCCAGTCCAGGAGGGGCAGCGAAGCGGGGCAATCTGCCAACGGGGCCCAGAGGAAACACTGGGCCATCACCCAAGCCAAGGAAGGGGCTGAAATTTGGGAAAGGGTAGCAATTCAAAGTGAGGCTTCTACAAAAGCGGGACTTTAAGTGAACTCACATCCGAAGGTTTCAGGCCGCTCTCGGAAGGTGCCAACCAACACCGCAGCTTTTGAACACAGCACCTACTTGCAATCGGTCTCACGGGTTACCTGCGCTTGCATAACCGACCTGTCCCTGCCTCATCCCAGTTTAAATCTTGCATCAGTCCATTTATCGAGGCATCTGATGAAGCCAACCGCAGCTCACAGCAGCTTCTGCTTTTAATAAAATTGGTCGGTTAGAAAGGGCGCTTCTGGACTCCTAATTTTCAGTGTCAGCCACATAAATTCCAGGCGTTCAATTTCATCAGCTGGGCCAGCCCAAATGCGCTTGGCACTGATTCTGGGCTGCCCAAAGCTACTACAGGAGGGGTGGGCAACTTTTGGTGGGCAGAGGAATACCCTCTCCTTGGATATTCAGACTTTGGGGGGCACCCCGTCCAGATGTGGGTTGCTTCGGCCTTGAAGCGGAGTCACTTCTGGTGCCGTCCAACACAGACAAACTGACGCCAGTTTAGCGTCGTCCAGAAGCCTTGTACTACAACTCCCATCCCAGCCAAGTTGTTTTATTTATAACTGGGGCAGGGTGTGCGTACATATATTTGAAATACCAGAGAAAAAAATAAAGTAGCAAAAAGTGAAAAGAAAAAAATAAAGGAATACGCTGTATTCCTTTATTTTTTTTCTTTTCACTCTTT